GGTCGACCGACAGATCGTTCGGTCGACCGAAAAAAGAATTCGGTCGACCGACGAAAAAATCCGGTCGACCGTGAGCAGGTCTGAAAAACAAAAAACAAGCAGAGACTTCGTCGGTCGACCGGTGCGGTCGACCGATGGAGTTTTTCGGTCGACCGGACCGGTCGACCGACAGACTCTCTGTCGCCCAATGATGAAAGATCAAATAATCGGTCGACCGGTGCGGTCGACCGAAATCTGACATATTCAAAAATTGTTTTGCTGATTTTAAAACACTGTTTAAAAATATCAAATAAATTCCAAAAAATGTAAAACTTTGGAGAATGATTGTAGACATGATAATACACATGCTACAAAAACTGGTTTTCTAAAAAGACTTCCCAAATGAGAAATATCATCATTTTGCAAAATAGTCCAAAACATGAAAACCTGAAAATTGATATTTTGATATTTTGACTTAAACAACATTTTGAAACCTTACCTCTCTCTCTCTACAGGAAGATTTCTCTATATATATATATATATATATATATATCACTATATATATATATGAAAACCGATATAATGTGTGTGTATAGATATTGAGCTTAACGTATTAAACACACATAATATAAACCCTAAACTACATTACCCAAGCAATCTTGATCTTCAATTAAGCTTGACTTGGTACACGTTGCGGATGAAGCTTGAACACAGGAAGATTTCTCTATATATATATCTATATATATATATATCACTATATATATATATGAAAACCGATATAATGTGTGTGTATAGATATTGAGCTTAACGTATTAAACACACATAATATAAACCCTAAACTACATTACCCAAGCAATCTTGATCTTCAATTAAGCTTGACTTGGTACACGTTGCGGATGAAGCTTGAACTTGGATCTTAAACTTTGAATAGCAAGGCTTCACCGACATTCCGCCAACCTCCATTTGATATCGTCGTTGAAGCGCTATTCCATCCATCCTTCAACAACGTTGTTTGTCTACAATGAATAGATAATACAAGCACTAGACAAACAACATTAGTTATAAATTGTTTGTTAAACATCATCAAAACAAGAAGGCCAACAAGCAACTCGCCTCCAAGCTCCAAATTCCTGATTTTTCGTGTATAAGGGCCCTAGGGGTATATTTATAGGCTTTAGGTACCCTATTTTCGAATAAGAATTCATGATTTAGCTTTATCTTTAGTTAATAATAGCTCTCCCTCGTTTAAGGATAGCCTCAAGGCAGTTAAGGAGGCACCGAAACCATCAAAACCGATCGAAAACCATCGAAAACGCGTCTCGAGGCTTCATTCTGTGCAAAACAGCCTTGTCTGTTTCGCACATTTGTGAAACAATTCAGGGTGTCTCGTACATGTGCGAGACACCTTATTGTGCGAGACACCTTATTGTGTGAGACAGTTTGGGGTGTCTCGCACATGTGCGAGATAGTTTGTACTATCTTTGGTATTTTGGCTCTAATTCTTCCATCCAACCTCTAAATGAGGTGATTCAAGTTGCATTGGAAAGCTAACGAAAATCTCTACAACTTTTGTCTTTTGAACCTTTTGGGATTCGAATTGCATCATGGTCTAAATTTTAGTTCTTCATACTCATATATCTATTTTCTTCAAGAATCATGCATTCTAAATCTTATTGTTGCTTCATCGCTTCACACATTCCTTAACTTTCCCATTGGCATCGAATAATCCTCTTTAACTCAGACATTAATGTTTATCACATTCTCTTCATCTCGAGCTACATGCGGGAACCTATAGGTATTTTTTGACGCCTACATTCCCGTGACTCAAAAATCTCCTCAAGCAGCAAATTTAGATGAGGATGATACTTAATCCCAAAACAATAACACTAAGACACCAATCCATGATAATTCAAAAAAGCTAACTTATCATAAAGGAAAGGGAAAAAGTCAAAGTTTGAGCATGAGATCATGCAACAATTGGTAGATGAAGTAAAACACTTTTCTTCCTCTATGAAAGATGGTAACATGCACTGGACTGAGAAACTTTTCAAAGCTATCTTTGCGCATAAAGACAATTACCCAATTGAAATACTTGAGCTTTTGTAAGATACTATATTTGAGAATGAGAGCAAAGAAAGACATTTT